CACGGGGCCCGGCCCGCCGCGCGCTGCTACTCCGTCGACTGCGTCGGCGACGCCCTCTCCCTGAAGGACGCCCTGATGTGCGTCTGCCAGGTCGGCTCCAGCGACGCGGGCTACGAGCTGCTTCGCTCGACGCCGACCCTGCTGCGGCATATCTTGTCCCTGGCGCGGTTTAGCTCGACGATGTCGATTCGCGGGATCGGGATTATCGGGACGTGCGTCCTGGCACGGTGTAGGCGCTTTGCCGCGGACCTCGCGCGGGATAACCTCGTCGTCTTTTATAACCCCAACGCCTACATCAGCGCGGACGGCGTCCCTTACTCCGTCGCCTTCGCCGACGGCAAGGTCCTGCGGGGGATGATGAAAAAGCACGCCCTGGCGGACACCATCGTGACGCATATCTACAAGGACGGCAAAGGGCCCGACCCCACCGGCGTCCCCAAGCGCGTTTACGAGAACGTCTTCGCGCTTGCGAACCCGGTGAGCCGGGAGGGGGCCAAGACGGTGCTTTATACGATGATGCGCCGCCGCCCGGAGCTCTTTTTGGAGCCCAGCGTGCGGAGGCTTCTCCTGGACGCCGCCGCAAAGTATCGGATGCGGCATGCCGAGCGAAAGTTCATCGCGGATTTGGTCCAAAACGCCCAGTTGACAAGTCCGAGAGGTCGGAGGGAGGGGTAGAGAGGTGCAACCTCATGTAGAGAAGGCACCCAGGGAATGTACGGTTGTTATGGTGAGGAAGAAAAAAAAAAGATGGTGTGTAAAAACACATTCATACCGGTATGTTTTTTTTTTTGTTAGTATTGCATTTGTGGATACTGGTTGCATGGGGTATATATCCATATTCCTAATCGCCTTGTCGTCCGTCAACTACGTGAGTCTGAAGTTTACCACGTAGCTCATGGATCTTTGTGTGGACTGATGTTTGCCCCAAAACATCTCACTTCGTAGGTTAATGCGATTTGTGGATAGCTGCTAGAGGAAGGGGCGTGATGTGGTGGGGATTATACATAATCCTTCTTTCCTGATCCTCTCTTTCGTATTTCTATATTTTATTTCTCAAAAAAAAAGCTAATAATGGACCACCAACGTATGATTCCTGAGTTTTCACCTGTGAATATCATTCCTAAGTTTAGAAAAAGAATGTGTATACACACTTGCTATTGACCCTGTAGGTGCGACAGGGACTTTTCAGATTGATTACTTTTTTTTTCTTGGATTGAAATCATAGTTTTTTTAATTTTCCCCCAGTAGAAAATAGTATCGAGCTTAGGTCGATGGAGCGCGATCGCGGCAAGGGTGGCGATGGCCGTTCAGATGATGGCTCCGCATCCTCGGTGGGGGAGGGCGTGGAAGTGAGTGCCCCAACCACTGCTTCGGCCAATGATCCCAACAAGGAGGCGTTGCGCGACCCCAGTGGGGTTTTTCCTTCTTCCGGGAAGCACCACCGCAGGGAGGCGCTTTTGCTTGACGATTCTGAGCTTTTTATGTTTGACTTTAGTGACCCCACGGCGATCCCTCCCGCGGAGGAGGTGATGTCTCCTTCGGACGAAGTGGAGGAGCCGCCCTCGGTGGGGACGACGACCCTGCAAACGCCTTTTATCGCGCCCGCCGGGAGGGTCCTCGGCCTGGCGGAGGTCCGGCAGCACGCCGAGGAGGCCTTGAGCTTGGGCGCCCTGGAGTTTATGCGGCCCCCGACCCTTCATCGCGATGGATCGGCGGGCACCTTAGGGGAGACCATCGAGCGCTTCGTGACGAGGCTGCGGCGCTACGACGAGGGTTTATGGCGGGCGCATAAAGCGCAGACGGAGGGCGGTAGGGCGGGTGCGCCGCGAAGACGACCACGCCCCACACCTCAAGAAGGAGACGGTAAATGAGGCCGATGCGATTAAAAAGGGCCGATTTTAGGGCTCGTGGGGGGTGGGGGGTGTAGGGTGTCTTGCGGAAGCGCTTGAGTGTAGATGGGGTCTCATTGTATTGCTTTGTGTTTAATGTTTGTTTCCTGATTTACCCTTCTTTTTTTTCTATTGTTTGGTTTATAACCAGGGAAGGAGAGAGGACTTTGTTTACCCCATGGAAGCACGCTGCCCCATACATGACTACACTAAAGAGTAATCATTAAATAAAGGATTAAAAAACAAACCTGCTTTTTGCTTATTAATCATGTCTTCTTGATTCCGTTTGGTTTGAAGTGCTCATTGGGCGAGCCATAAAGTGGAGCCCTGATGGGGCATAATTTAAAATCCATGCGGTGAAAGGATAGACAGTCGTTTAAATTGAATAAATCACCTTCGGGATTATTTCCTAACTTTTCTGCATTGTTATGGGTAGCGCAGACGCTTTTTTTCCTCTTGTATATTGTATCTTGAGAATGGACCTTTATAATATCTACTTGATTGTCTTGTTTTTTATCGTTCTCGTGAAATGTGTATAAGTTTCCTCATAAAGGGAAGTAAAGTATAAAATATACTGATTACATCCATAAGCCCATTTTACGAAGGATAGATACTATAGATGCTCTCCTTAAACTCATGAGTAGTTTTTACCGATACTTGTGGCTGAATTCCTTTGAGCGACCTTTCTTGTAATACACCTATTAGAGTCTACTTTTATGTGAGTCGGAGTAATTACGCTGGCGTCTCTTTCTCTACATAATAACCACGTTGACATCAATACACTTGATCAGAGGCGCGCATTTTTGCATTTATGAAGGTTTCCGTCCATTATTTTCAGAAGTTTGTCAATGAGGGTTCAGTTTCTGCCTGTAAGCCGTGGAACTTCCCATTTTGCGTTTAATTCGTCTCTATCCCATGATATATGTGTATATACATAGGTACTTTTATACGACTTTGCTTACTGATGGTATGCCCTAATGCGTAGGAATAAAACAGAGTTGCCAACTTGGTTTTTCAAGTTTTTATGCTTATTTGTTGCTATTCACACGACTTTATCTGAAAATGATTAGGCGTGGCATGGCGTGTGCTGAGGTTTAATTTTTAAGTCGTGTAAGATATTGAGTTTCCTAAGGGAAGATTGTAATCAGCGTTATTGATGGGTGAACAGTACCTCTTTTACGGAGCTTTTCTTTGTAATTGATAAAGCATGATCAATTAAAAAATTCAATACATAAATAAATAAATCAATAAATAAAAATATATTAAGTGCATGGTGACAGGTCGACTAAATGTTGAATAATCTTTCTAATCTTTTCTATTTTCCTTTTTTATCGCATCTGACAGAAGATTTATTAATCTAATATCACCTACAGCTAAGTAGGAGCGTATGTAGCGAATATATATATATATTTATATATTATTTTTTATTTTTCATTTTTAATATCCACACCATACAAACCAATGGGCGTTGATAAGGAGTACCTTATTGAACTCGCGATCTGTGTAGTCGTGTTAGGGGCCAGTACGTTGATATATCATTGGTTTCCTCTCGCACGGGCCGGTGCCGGGATTGTAGCAATCCTCACTGTTTTTTACATCCTGCGTGTCTGGCGTATTTTACCCAGCTATAAAAAATGGGTGAATGCGGAGCTCTTTCTAAAGACTAAGAGGATTATGGCGAAAAACATCGCGCGATCCACTTCGAGCTTAAATGCGCCGTATGCAGCGACAAGAAGCCCCCATCCCTCATTCGAGCTGGTCAATTTCCCTCAGAGGGATAATTCCCAATACAGCTTCAAGCCCTCATTCGAGCTCGTCAATCCCTTTTCAAAGATGATTTACCAGAATAGCTTCCCGCCCGCATTTGATCCGCGTAATTTCCTTCAGAAGGGAAATTCCCAAGACAACTTCCAGCCCTCATTCGAGCTCGTCAATCCCTTTTCAAAGATGATTTACCAAAATAGCTTCCCGCCCTCATTTGATCCGTATAATTTCCTTTCGAAGAGTAATCCCTATTTTAGCTTCCCGCCCGCCCTACCTATGCCTTTCTTCCTCGCTCAGACGAACCACGGGATTATTTGCTTGCTCGGTGACGGCGAAAATGGAAGTTCGGCCGGCCTCGGCAGAAATTTCGACGTCTACCCGCCGTACCTCGCACAGTGTCCTCTGCCCTCGCAGTTTTTGTCGTTTACCGGCGCGAGGACAGAGGAGCCGGTCTGCGCGGCAGCCCAATCCGCCCCCGCGGGGGTCATCCCCACACGGCAACACTCATTTTCTACTAGGAAAAATGAGCCTTACCCATTGACGTCATGAATATATACTATTTTTTATATTTATTCTCTTATATATTTTGTTATATACATCTACATCCACACACACACACATATCGATATAAATAAATAATTGAAAAATATATATAGGTATATGTGTGGGGCTGGACTGTATGCTTTCTTACTACTATTCCAATTCCTCTGCAATTTAGCAGATAGCGATATTTAGATAAAAAAAATCATAAGATAAGATCATGAAAGAACCCTTTACGGTTTAGTTATATATACATATATATATATACTTTTTTTTTTAATCTGTATTTTTGTATTTTTATGTATGTCTACCTTAAGTTCTAATTCAGACCTTCCGTTATTGATATGATATCGGACGCCTGCCCTACGATATATATATATTTTAAATACCACCTGTTGTTTCGTTGAGTCTCTCTCGACCAGTTCTTTTTTCTTTTACCCTGTTAGAATAAATCAACGTCAAGGGTATCATTTCTACATAGACGTTTATGTTCCCATATCCTTTTCCTTCCTATTGCGATTTCACTTAAATTGACCTTGTCATCTTCTGCTGTAGAAATTCAGGTATTCCAGTACAGTACAGTGACATTACAGTCTAGTACAGTACAGTACAGTACAGTGGCATTACAGTCTAGTACAGTACAGTGATAATACAGTACCTCCTCCCCTCCTCCTTCATAATCTTCTGCAGTCATGGGGATAAAAGGGCTTTGGCAGGCTATGCAGTCCTACATTCAGGATGGCCACTTGAGTCAGTTTAAAGGGAAGCGTGTTTCCGTGGACATGTACGTTTGGCTCCACCAGGGGATTCGCCACGGGATGGAGTTGAATGAGGAGCGGGTTTGGCGCCACTTCGAGGCGCTCGACGCGCGCGTCTCAGGGGATCAAACAGAAGGAGAGGCGGCCAGTGGTGATGGTCTGGAAGGGCCGTCGGAGGCCGCACTGAAGATGGAGGACGCCTACCTGATGAACGACCGCTACGTCGACTACATCGTGCAGAAGGTGGACGCCCTTCTACGCTATGGGGCTGTCCCGGTCTGCGTGTTTGACGGGGCAGAGATGCCGATGAAGCGTCGGACAAACGTCGAGCGGCAGGAGCGACGGGAGGCCAACTTTCAGCAGGCCCTACGGCTCCTCGAGGGGAATTATCGGCGCAGCCGAGCTGGCCAGCGCCGCGGATTCCAAACTCACGCGCGGAGTTATAGCGAAGCCCTGGAGTGTTTGTGGAAGGCTGTGGATGTCTCGACGGAGCTCGCGCACATCCTCATCCAGGTCTTGCGAGAGGAGCGCCGGGTGGAGTGTTTGGTAGCCCCCTACGAGGCCGAGGCGCAGATGGCGTATTTATGCCGCCAGGGCTACGTTGAGGCGGCCCTCTCGGAGGACTCCGACCTCATCGCGTACTACTGCCCCTGCATTATCGCAAAGGTAGAAACCGCCTCCGGGCGATGCGTCGTTGTCCATCCGAAGGTTAGCGTGCCTGCGTTTTTCTCATCAATTGCGGCAATGAACCTCCCTCAGCGCGCGCGCGCGCGCGGGGATGGGATTTTGGCGGAGGCGCGTCCGTTAAATTCATCCACCTCCTCCACAAATCCAGCGCCAGCCCCCATTCCGTTCTCCTATGAGTCTTTCCTTCTTGGCTGTATCATGAGCGGGTGTGATTACCTTGCGAACCTTCGCAATATTGGTGTGAAGACCGCTTTTAAGCTTGTCAGCCACGCACGCTCGCTGGTGGAGGTTTTGCAGCTCCTGAAGACGCAGTTCGGCTTTCCCGCTGACGAGCTCCAGAGCTACCGCCGTCGCCTCCTCGACGCCTTTTATTGTTTTGCCCACCACATCGTCTACGATCCCTCGCTTAGGAAGCTGATGACCTTCTTTCCGCTTCCGAATTCCTCCCCCTCCTTGTCTTCTTCCGCGTTGGCGCTGCGGGAGGATTTGGTAGGGTCGATGTGGTCTGTCGAGGAGACCCATCGCGTTTGCGAGGAGTGCTTGTTCGATCCGAACACGCACCGGCTCTACGTGGGGTCTTTTAACTCCTGCCTCAGCGCCTACCTCCGCCGTGCGCGCCGGGGGCAGGTTCGGTTGACCACGTTCAGCGGATTTACCGCCAAACAGGCCCCGAAGGTCGTGCTCGACCCCCAGCAGAAGCGCGCGGAGGCGGAGTTCGGCCCGGGCCCCCTCCAAAAAGTCCGCGAGGCCGCGGGGGTGTGGGCCCAAGGCGCCCCCAAAGTGATGGTCCGCTCGCGGTATTTCCTGCGCTCGGGGAGGCTGCACGCGCAGGAGGACTGGAGCGCGTCCTCCGGGACCAGCGGCGGCGAGGGGCTCGCAGGGGGAGGGGGGTCGCAGGACTCCGCATCCCACACGGCCCCCTCGAGCGATTCCGCCACCCTCGCCTCGCAGGAGTTTGGCGAAAAAGCCCCCACCAGCCCGAGTTTTCGCGCGCGCGAGGCGGCCGGGCCGACCGCGAGGACGCCGTTGGCGGATTCGACGTCCGGCGCGCGGGGTTCGGGGTTGTTGGGCTCCCCTTCCACCGCCGCCACGCCGCCGCCTGCGCGGGCGGAAAAGGGGCTTTGGGTCGGAGAAGGCGCGGAGGAGGCCTGGCGGCCGTCCCACCCGGGGCCTAAACGCGAGCGGCCCCCATCCCAGGACGACGCCTCCACCTCCGCGCGCGCGGCGAGCGAGGGGGTTGAGCAGCCTTCCCAGGGGATTGGCGGGGCGTCGTATTTTGCGAAGGCTTTTAAGGCCCCCCGGCGCGTCGAGACGGCGACGGCGTCCTCGCCGGGGGATACTCCCGACTGCGCGGGCCCTGTCGATCCTTCCGACCCGGCCCACGCCACGGCTACACCGGCTGAATCGTCCAAACCGACCGAACCAACAGAAAATGGGGTAAATTTGGGCGTTTTTGAACAATTACTCTTCACCGGTCGGTATTCCACCACGACTTAAGGGATCGATCAGAGTTGCGGGTTCCTATGGGTAGGCCTTAAAAAGAAAAAAATAATAATAATTGCTCAAGTGCGTGTGTGGTGAGTGAAAGCGTTTTGAACGCATGCACTTTGAGTGAATGATGCAATTATAAAGAATGACTTATCCCTCGAGATTTATTTTAACTCACTTTTTTTTATCGATTCCATTTATAGATAGATCCAACAACGAATTAGTGGAAATGTTCTTATTCTTTTGTATTCTGAGTTGCCCGCATCTATCTACCTTGTGATCTTTATTGGTTCACTAGAAGGTGCGAGTTTTAATGTTGTTTTTCAGTTATTACCATATTTTTCATTTTCCCTTCTTTTTACACACAAAAGGCAAACATATATATCTATATATCTATTTATATATAGATGTATATCCAACAAAATGATTACTGTAAAGTTTAGATGTCCCACCACCAAGTCCTGTAGGGGTTTCCCCCCCCCCCGACCCCATTGTTGGGCTTCACGGGCTATTCTTTCCCCTCTTTCCGTGCGAACTTTCAGGTCCTCTGGAGGGGTACCAGACGGGCGGAATTCAAACTTCAGGCGACATTTAACCACCTCGCGGGGATCCCCCCCTCAGACGACCGAGGAAACGGCGAAAAAGCCGACGAAAGAAGCGGCGGATCCACAGGCCCCGCCGAGCCCCTCCACCCCGGCTTCTTTTTCCTCTTCCTTTTCCTTTCCTTTTCCGTCTTCGTCTTCGTCTTCTTCTTCTTCTTCGACGATCCCCCGGTCGTTTGACGAGCACGCGCGGGTTGTGGGGAGTCGACATCAGGTCCAGCGCCTCCTGCGCCGGCTCCCCCTCGGCGCCACGGCCGAGACGTTCTACTACAACGAACTCCCGGACACCGTCAAGGCCGACCTCACTCAGTTGGCCCGGCGCAAGGCCCTCGAGGCGGCGTTTGTGGCCTCCGCTGCGGCGGATTCCGCCGCGGATTTCAACCCCAACGAAGAGCCCGAGGGGGGGAAATTATCGCCGTTGCTTTCGCTCTCGGAGCCGGCCCTGGGGTTGTCGGCGGGGGCCCTCGACGCGGCC